GCGTCCACGAAACGGAAGCGGCAGTCTTAGGGGGAAGGAGTAAATAAAACGTCAAAGGGAAGGGGGTAGAGGTATGAAGAAGGGAGTGAGGGAGAGTTCACCGTTGGCGATAATAGCTTCCACGAAAACAGGCAACATTTGTGGGGGGGTAGTAGCTAGTCGAACGTCATACGGGCAGATGGAGGGAGGGGAGTTTCAGAGGTAGGGAGACGGGGGAGGGTTCATTAATCAGCAGTGTCCGCACTGCGGGTGTTCCTGTGGACAGCAGTATATGCGGACGACAACGCAATACATATGTTCACCGAGTTGTCATCGGTTGCCCAGGATTTAATTAGCTCGCGTTCGGTCTTGCTCCTGGCGTGAATAATTATCCCTGTTGCGGCGAAATTAAAGTCGTGGCCCGTCTTAGGGGTGTAGGCCGCCACTTGCGACAGTTGGTCACCAACCTGACCGCCCGAGTATGTTCATTTATGCGCGAACCCAGCATGCGTCCAGTTTTCCCTGTGTAGTTACAAGGGCAGCTTGAGCATGGGATGCAATACACTACCCCAGATTGTTGTGTGGGATTAAGTGGATCTTTTGTTTTCATAACCTGGCTGCGCATGGTAGCATTGGAACGGTGTGCAATTCCAACACCCAGTTCCGCAGCGATGGGCTCGGTCGCTTCTGAGACAGAATTGATGTAAGGTAGGGCGTGTCATATCCTCGGAGGTTCTTCCATTTGGTCCCTCGTGGGCCTTACGCGTAGGCAGCGGCTTACAGTGGCTTTCGAATAACCATTCCGCATGCACTGGTAGCTAAGGTATGGGGCTTCGTGTGCCTTGCCTTCTGGTCTAGTGCAGCTGGTTAGAATTTGTTTTAAGAGCGCTTTTTCACAGCTTTGTTTGTGGGCGGCCGGATGGTTGATGTTAAAACTGAGAATTTGTATCGTGTTAGTTGCCTTCCTGTAGACCTTTGTCTCAATTTCACCGTTAGGCGTTCTCTTGATGAGGCAATCTAGGAAAAAAGAGCTGCCGCTCTTGTTCGTTTTCCCGCGTGAATTGTTTGTCAGGAAATATTCCATTGAACAAGTCATGGACGTTTTGCAGCATGTTTCTTTTGACAATGACAAGCGCGTCGCCGAATTAGCGGCGCCAGAAGACAGAAGCATGTTGGGCGAAGACGATATTTGCTAGCTCCTGAAGAACCAGTTCTGACACTAAATCGGAAATCGTGGAGCCCATGGCAGTTCCTTTGATCTGTTCGTACGCTTCTCCAGCAAAGATAAAGTACGTTTTATGGCAGAATTCGAATAACCTCATACAGTGTTTAATGTTAAGTGGGCATGGAGCCTCAACGTATGCCTCTTCAAGTCTGTTGCGCAAGACGTCTTGCGCCAGATTTGAGTGCATGGATATGAATAAGAAAGTCACATCAAAGGAGACCATGATTTCGTGCGATTGAATCGTCCGGCCTCGAAGGTCCTGAAGGAATTCAGAGGCTGATTGAACGGAAGTATTGGAGTCGCCTTGGAGTTATTTTAATTTCCTATACATCTACTCTGCCAAATTATATGTAGGGCTGCTTTTAAGGGCCACAATTGGGCGAAGTGGGAAATTCGGTTTGTGAAGATTTGGCAGTACGTAGAATCGGGCCAGAACGGTATCCCTTACTTTAATTTCGCGCCACTTGTTCATCGTGATCACAATCTTCTGCTGGTATTCTCTGAGTAGTTTAATCAGTCGGTTGGATAGTACTTTGGCTTGCGAGTTCTGAGCTGGTCTGTAAAACTCTCTGTCGTCAAGACGAGTTTTAGCCTTTTCATTCTAATCTTGTCGATTCATCACGAGAGTTGACTGTTCCTTATCGGCAGGTAAGATGATAATACTGTTGTCTTGGAGCAATTCTTTCATGGCTTTTGACTCCCTTTGCGAAATGCATCGGGTCGGGTTGTGAACCGTCAGCAAGGAAGTCACAAGTTGTCGGATTGAGTGTGTCGTGTCGTCAGTTGTTTTAGTTCAAACCAGCATCGCTTCTAGTGCAGC